AGTCATTCACAGAAGCGCGAGTCTTTTTGTGTAAGCACAGATTTCTTTCTGTACCCCTCCCATAGATACCAGACAGCACTCCCGGATCTTCTTGAAGACCATGTAACCATCATCATGTTTGTATTTAAGATATAGCGTACCCAGAATACACGACATTCAAATATTTGATACGATAATGCAAAACATGTCGTCGCATGCTTGTGGAGGCCCTCTACAAGTAGTGCCTTCCTCTTCTTCTTCTTCCTCTTCTTCCTTTTTTTTTTCTTCCTCTCTGGGCCTCATCTCACACGTGAGATGTCCTTGTACAGGCAAGTTTGTAAAGGATCTGTGTAAGATGCAAAAACCTGATGATAAGCATACTAAGACGCCATAGTGGTAGTATGCTACATAACCAAGATGGTTCTAGTGCATGGGACGTAACCCTGAAAAATGCCCGTAGTGGGTCTCTCTTTAAATGTGCACGGTGGGGGAGGGGGGATGGGACGGGGCAGTGGGGGGGCAGGAGGAGGGAAGGACAGGGGCAACAAGACTTTTGTGTTCGTCCTGGCCCTGGTCCTGATGCACAGTCCGCCCCTGGACACCTGTAGGGTAACCATTGGGTTCGGGAGGGGATTAGGTGTCAGGCCGTTCAGCTCAGTGGTTGCTAATGCCCACTGTGCCAAGCACATGGTAGGACCTGACTTGCGGCCCAACTAAGTCGAAGCTGCCAACATGTGCGATATCGGCCGAAGTCATCAAATTGTCCGTGCGGTGTCAGGCCAGCAAAATGAACTACGCGGGGATCACGGAGTCAAGCCTGGCTCCTGGTTGGGCTGCCTATCGTAAGAAGCTTCGGCAGAGGGGCCAGCGCCAAGACGAGCGATTGACATCAATTTCCAGAGTGCCCCCCGGGCTTGCCCATCAAAACGAGTTGTTGTGAGTCGCAAGCTTGCCGTAGACGCGATATGAAAAAGGCAGCTACCCGGTCCTGCGCTGCTCAGTCTTGCTTTTGATCATTCGGTTTGAGGACCAAGTTTTTTTTTACTGTGCAGTCGGCAGTTGGGAATTTGTACTTGTGTGTCGAACCCCACCCGTGTTGTTTTAAAAATCCTGCAGGCGGCCACGGTGAATGTTTAGCCGCGGGCGGAAGTGAGTGGGTGAGTCCTGCGCAACAAGAAAACACGCGCCCTGCGAGGTGACTGGTTTTTGCTGCGCCGTCGTCCGCCGGGATTTTGTAAGTGTATGGCAGGCCCCCGCCCGTGTTCATTTTTGTTCAGCAGTTGGCCACCGTGAATGCATCACCGAAAGGGCGTGGGCCCGCACGGCACACCAAGAAAAAAACGCGCAAGCAACCGGCCCTGCTTAGCTTGTGTATTTCGACTCCTTGCACGCTCACGTTAGAAAGAAGATGATGCCGTGACCAGGACTTGCCTTAAGAAAACATACGAATCTTTTTCCAAGCCCGTCATGCAAGCATTGCGTCCGCTAACGGGGTTGGCCTCTCCGCCCCCCCCGCCCTCTGCCCGCCCACCCCCCCCTCCGCCTCCACCTCCGCGCTCTCCCCTCCAATTCCCGCGCTTTCTAAATCCTTTTCTAAACACGTCCTGAGAGCATTGTGTTCGCCAACCGGGGGGTTGGGGTGGGCTGTGCCCCCGAACCCCCGGCCCCGGTATTTCGACACTTAAATCACCCAGCCAAGAACGAAGTGCTCCTCGGCCTGCACAGCAGAAAACGATGGCACAGCAAACAAAAGAGCCCGTTCCTCACCCTCTCAGAACATTTTTTTTGCTTGGCAGCGACGGCACAGCCAAAGCCAGAAGAAAAAACATCGGCGGTTTCACCAAAAGTGCTGGCGCAGCAGTTGCGCACTTTTGAGTTTCGGGTCTTGTGTGCTCTTGTCAAGGATTTCCGATTGGAGACCCGGACCCGACCCGGAGACGTGCGTGAGGTGAGGAGTTTTCAGTTTGATCTTGGTTGTGGGGGCATTCTGCTAATTCATGAAAAAAAGCCCTTGCCCTCAAGGAGAGAACTGGAGGTGTCACTGAACGCTGGCCGCTGATCAGAAGGCCAGTGCTGGCTGCCTCCAACGAGCGCTTCATAGGCATTTCAGTACGAAGAAGTTCAGAAGGCAGCCTGCCAGCCCATAGCCTGAAAGCACTAGGAAAGCTTGATCCAACATTTAATCTCGCAATTTGCAGAGGATGAGCCAGAGCCATCATGCAGGTTGTGCGTAGAAGACGCCACTTGTGATGCGGCGTAGGTTTCAGATTTCAGATGGTTTCAGGAGAGATTCGCAACTCAAGGAACATAGTGGCGCAACGCCACAAGTGGATGACAAGGCTTGCATGTGCCAGTGTCCTGTCAAAAACATGTTGCATACAAATATGTCATAGTATGTCATATGTATGTCATAGTTGTCAACGTTTCTGCTTGGTGCGACAGGTACACTAGTACACTGAAATCCGAGCGTGCCAATCATTGGATGAGCTGTCTACTCGCCGGGCTAGTTCGAAGGCTTTACATTCCGACCATTCGGAGCTCTGAAAGAACACAGGGTTTGGTCTTGTCGGGTTAGAACAGCTCACAACTGGAGATCCAATGGCACCAGTTTAGGTCACCTCACCTGAGAGGTCGTCAAAGTTTTTTGTAACCAATGACAGCATCAGTTGACAGGGGCATGAAGCCATTGCATGGACGGAGGATGTCATAGAGGATACACATGGCGGTGATGATGCTGTCATCATAGCTTATTTCAGTTGTGCACCGCTGTACAGCCTGAAGGGGCCTGTCCAAGAGCGCACCTGGCAACAACACTAAACCCTAAACCCTAAGCCCTAAACCCTAAACCCTTAACCCTAAACCCTAAACCCAAACAATGAGAGATGAGCCAGCAACTGGACCAAGTGCGCAGATCGGCGGTTTCATAAGCGCACCAGTCTCAACCCTTAGCTTCTTGACATCTTGCCACGCTGCAGCAAAGCGAGCTTTGTTGCCTTCCGTTGTAGAGCGTGGCAGCTGTCCCATAGTCGCGTCCTTGCGGTCCGAGTGCTGTTGGTGCAGAGTGAGGATTCTGGGATGTGTTTGGCATGTGGCTGGTTTTCCGAAAATAGGGGTACACTCTTTGGGGGTCCCTTTAAGGGAGTCTGTTCTGTTTGGGGTAGAAAAGGGGGTTGCCCTATTTTGGGAAATACTCACGTGCGAGTTCTGACAGCAAGAATGCGTGACGACACCTGGGGGTGCTTTTCGAACTGCTAGTTCCAAGTGTATTACTTGGACACGAAGGCCTTTGGCTGGGTTTGGAGAGCAATTTTCCCACAAGAATCCCATCAAGGGATTCTTGGTTCGGTGGTTGTAAAAGTGATCGCTCAAAGCAAAAGCAGCATATCCACGTCATGATCTTTGCGCAGGGACTGCTCACAACCACCACAACCACCCTGTTTTTTCAAGTGCAGGGGCGCACTCGAGAAAGCAAGCGAGCAGACGTGCATGTGGACTTACATGCACTCCCCAGGGCTGTTTTGTATCGAAATCGAGATTCTCCTACAGCAGATAGCTGATTCAGGCATATTCAGAAGGCTGCCTTGTCTGCCCTGACAAGCTGCCCCCGAGAGGCATGCATAGATTCGATGCATGCCGACAATTTGTTTAGATGGCATAGGTTGCCCTGATGGTTTTTGCGGAGCCCGACATCGTTGCACGATGTCGGGCTAGGTTTTGGATCTTGCCAGGTGACATGGCAACATCTGTTGCCCGAACCATCGGGTTGAAAGGGCAAGAGTTTCATAGCGCTTGGGTATCGTGTTCAGTGACGTGCATTCCCAGCAGGATTGCTTGTGTCGTAAACGTCTGCAAATTCGCCAGCGAACTCCAACGACCAAAATGACGCACAAATGCCAGCAGTGCTGATGAGCAATGATGAAACTCGAAAAGAAACATTCTCCCAGGCGGATGGAAGGAGCCCCCATGAGCCCGCGTGGTCCACTTCTTCCTCGGCCGATAGAAGCCGTCATGCAAGGGGCTGCTTTAGCCGGAGGCCAACGTGCATGCCACATGCCACTCACATGCCACACCTATGCGGTCCGTGACGTATACATTTGCATCGTGACATTCTCTGTTGCTTCAATGAGAGGCTGCCCTATCTTGGCAGCGTGGTTCGGTTGGCAACTGATTTTGTTTTGTACTTGGCTTTGACCGTGGATGCTGTGATGTGCAGTCATTGCATGTCTTGCTTTTCTAAGGCAGTCGACGCTGTGGAGCGCGAGAGGCTGTGTGGGCATGATGCCAACGCGACCAATACTCTCAGCTGCACTGCGGCTGCCGTGTCGGAGACATGTGCTTGCGCGATTTCAAGCGCCAGAAGAGCGGAGCTTCTATTCAGAGGCTTCACAGATTCACAGTCTTCAGAAGCCATCTTCAAAAAGCCTTGAAGTGGTGCCTGAGTCTCTGAATGCGCCGAAGCGCTAAAGTTCAAAGGTTCTTGTATTTACTCGGCATGTGTGTTGCACGGCCCTTTAGCAAAAGCTTGTCATGCCAGTTGCCACAGGCACCGGAAAGTTGTTTCTTTGAAGGGTTTGACTCTGATCCCAGAAGTTGCGGATTCTTTTCGTTTGTTCTAGTACGGAAACCTCCATTGTCGCTTTCTTTTGATGGGAAAACCTTTGGCTTTCATGATGAGCCCAAGTGCTTTGTAAACGCGCCAGCAGAGCCCATCTATCACATTTGCCGAGCGAGTATTTCGTACTGGGCAAGGCCCCACGAGCAACACCTCACAGGCATGATGCTAGGAAACGTACCAGAACATAATTTCCGCTGTTGCTAGTTGCTCCAAGACTTTTTGTCTGTGTCGGTGAATGGACCGATTTGGCGCTGCCAAAGCAGTGTGCAGAACCAATCGGGAAAAAGGTTCTTCACTAGTGGCATTCAGGTTGCATGTGAGAGCGCGAGCATGGTATAGCATAGTTTCATCGTCGCAACAGGTAGGCTCATCAGCACAGCAGACAAGCTGTCAACAGTCATCAGCCATGGCGTCGCGTCGGCCGTATCTCGGTCGAGTTTGAGTTCAGGAACGTACAACTCTCACTTTTTTTCCGGGCGATTCTTTGCCGCCCTTGGTCATACCTCGGATGAGCCGCAGGCTGGCCCCTTGCTACCTGGGACCTCCAAAGGAAGTGGACGCTGTCGCAGAGGGCTATGCTCGTGTCTACCACAACAGGACTAGCCACTTGTGGCCAGAATCATCAAAATCTGTCTCGTTAGCATGCTGCAAGTGATTTACAGTACTGCTGTCCCAGGAGACGAACTGCATGGACAGACTATAAGATTGCAGCGACTGGCGAAGACAACCTAAGCTTGTCTCGGCAGTCCACTGCGGACACAGATATAGGCGTCTCGGACGAACAGGTTCTGTTGCTTCCGAAAGCCAGTGGCGCATGAAATCTCTGCCTTTGCACAGATCTGACAGGTATGTATGATTCCAAACAGCAGCCTGACGGGAGTTTCAGCATGAGTCCATCCACACGACAGCTGCTCACTCAGTTGGATTCAGAGAAGTGCATTGGCTGCTGTATGCAGCGGAACAAGATCCTCGAGGAAGCTCTCACATACTGCAGAATTCCTGGCTACATTCAACCATGTGCAGATGACGGTTGGTCTCCGCTGCTGATTGCCCCTTCATTGCACTTTGAAAGACACCTTTTGCGACGCGAAGAAACATGAGGGAGCGTGGCTAAGACATGCTAGGTCAGGGTTGCAGAACTGCTCGAGCAAAGCCTCAAAATGGATACTATCGGAAAGAAGGACACCGACATTTGTGAGTTTTGGGAGCTGGCTTTTGATTTCAGTAAGGCGACGCAGCGGCGAAACTACAGTGCCATCAAGACTCTTCTTGCACACGGTGCAGAGGTTGATTGTAGGGAGCCTCAAAGTGGATGGCTACTCGGACAGCACTTCTTTGGAAAGGATACTCAAGCCTGTCACAACACGCAGCTTTTACATCCACATGGCCATCGTCGAATCTGAGCTTTCGTTCACAGAACTCATTCAGGGCTCGGCCATATAAACGGCTGCGCACATACTGCATTGCTGCGAGGAAGATGCAAGGTCGCACAACTCGTGAGCGTTCACAGTCCCATCCTGGGTGTGCAAGCTGCTGGTGCGTATGCGTGTGTGTCCGCGTGCGTGTGTGCGTGTGCGTGCGTGTGCGCGTGCGCGTGCGCGCAGCGCAGGCGGCGCGTGCGCGCGTGCGGGTGTGCGGGTGCGCGTGCGCGTGCGCGTGCGCGTGCGCGTGCGCGTGCGCGTGCGCGTGCGCGTGCGCGTGCGCGCAGCGCAGAGGTGCACGGATCTCCCATCAAAAAGGGCAATAATTTGCCAGGATGACCAGCGGGGTACACACGCAAGCAGATGCTCTCGATAAACTGTCATCTTTAGTGGTTTCAACGTGTGCGCGGGCACGAACAAAACGTTCTGAAACTTCCAGAGCTATGCCATACGAAAATATACCAAGTTATGCCAAGGACGCCTTTGATGTTCGCAGCCTCCATTGGTGATTGCAACATCGTGAAGTTGTTGCTGGAGTATAATGCTTCCATCAACGACTTTGCCAGCCCTCATGACTGGAATCCGTTGTGCTGCGCGCTTCAAGCCAACAACAAAGAGGTGGCTCGTGTACTCCTCGATGTCGAGAGCTTAACTTTGCTTGCTGGTGGCGTCTTCGACAGTTGTGCGGCCAAGATTGGACAGTTTCGGGATTCTAGAGATTCTAGACTCAGCATTGCATCTGCCAGATACATGAGAGAAGGAGGATTCCATCACACAGTGGTGTTGACGGTGTGGCATGAGTAGTTTCCTTAAGGCGGGTGCTGACGTCAGCCTGATCAAGCGTAGGCATCCAGCGCTCGCGGAGATGTACGACACCTTGCCTGGCTAGAACTTGGTTTCTAGTTGCTTTAGTCCTGTAGTTCTTGTTTCGGCAAGGTTCTGAAGTTGGGCTAATTTCTGCAACGACAGGAGTGCGAGCTCGAAGAGATGTCTGCAGCTCCCACGCACCGCTAGCCGCTAGCCGAGACGCGATGTCTTCATCATGAAGATGCGGCCAAATTCTGGCACCGCCTCCGCTTTCATTAGTTCCAGTTCAGCAATATTGAGCAATGTTGGGCCAATTGGGCACGAGGAACGGGGTGCCAGAAGGAGGCCGAGAGAGTTCAGCGAATTTGCTTGCGGCAGCCTGTCAGACGTCATATTTTAAGTGCTGTGTGCGGCTAGGCCGTGCCACAGTCGTACGGAGCTTGACACTGAAGTTGTCACTCACACAAAGCCAGCCTAGATGCCTAATTGGGGTGGGTCCAAGTGATCATCAGAATGTGGTGCTTTTGACAGTCTAGAGTCTTGACGGTGATGCAGCAAGAGGTTGGCTGTGCTTTTGCTGACACGCTTAGTTAAACTTCTAAAGACTCTACGAGACATGACCAGCTCGTTTGTTTTTCATCGCTCTAGTTCCTTTTGGGTCGTCCATGGCTTGTCACTTGTGTTGGCATAAGCTTTGGCCGCGGTGCCAACAGCTGTTGCTTGGCTTGACGTTCGCAGACTGACCGTGCTTGGTCTTCCCCCTTTTCTTGCGCAATGAGTCCGATGGTGGGTGCTTCAGCTTCCGTCATGTACGTGCAAGCTTTGAAGCACCCTGGGGCTTTCTGTACTTCCAGAGCTGAGGCCTGAGGGGGCCTGAAAGTCGTGTTGATAAGCAAGCCAGCTGATGGATCTTTTGGAGAATGTCCCGAAACATATCTGAAGTACAGATGCATTGTGCATCGATCTGCTCGTTTGGAACTTTGACAACTCTTGAGCACTCAGACTTTGCATGCTCGGCATGGCAATTTGAATACCAGAGTGCACCAGCTTTTCAAGTCCTGTGCCTCGATTGCCGATTCGCCAAGATGCCTAGAAGGTATCAAGCGCTCGTGTCGATAGCTGTATATACGAACATGCAGGACCGTAATTAATGCCGTGCGTATCAATGAATGAAGTGTTTGCCCGGAGGGCCCAGTGGGGGCCTGACATGCTTGCAGCAGTTCAATGCAACGTGGTGTATGTAGTTATCTGGCTCCAAACCTTTAGAAAGCAGGCTTGCGCAGTCCATCAGCATTGCCTCATCTCATCTCTGCGTGAAGATGTCCTGATAGAGTGCATGGCGCCATGGCACCGCATCCTGCTGTGTCTAGTGCTTCTTCAGGTCAGGGTCCTGTTCCCTGCTTCCAGAGACAGCTCAGCTCCGGGAAGCTACAGGTCAGCCACCTGCAAGGATGGCGTGTGCCATGGTACTTCGATTGCCGCCACAGCCTGGAATGGTCCGGCCCTCAGGGCATCGATACGTGTGTCTGCAAGCCTGTCCACGTGAGTCGCACGTGAGGACCAATTTCAGGAATGCGCTGGAGCTCCTCGAGGGAGTGTACCAGGCAGAGCATCATTAAACGCGCATTATGGATGACGGCTTCAGCTTGGTTTGCTGGCATTCAGGAAGAGGTTTGGTGGTGGGCGCAAGGCTTACTGGAAAGGACCGGGGAGCAACTCTCTCGATGGTCAGAGATGACAGTTCGTACGAGGGTTGTTCTGACCGTCCGCGTCTGATGGTTTGGTTTGGGTGGCTGACTGAAGTAGTTTGCAGCATCCGCAAGACAAGGCGAGAAAAGGACAATACTTGTGGCGACGGGGCAACGCTGATCAGCATGATGGGGAGCGGGGTTGGGGGGGGGGGGAGGGGTTGCACGACTCGACATCGACAAGCAAACCTTGGACATACTCGTAGTGCTGCGGTCTCATGCCCCATTCCATTTGTCGGAAGGCTCCCGACGACGGTCTCCCAAATGAGGTCCGAGCATCGAAAAAGAAACGTTTCAAACTTACAAGAATTAAAGGGAATTGACCCAGCAGTTCTCCACGCAAACGCAGTCAAAGAACTCAGATACCAGTATGAAACTCTGCCAATTGCTCCGACCATTTTCCGTCCGAGAAAGCGAGTTGTGTTTCTATTCCGGATTCACCTGCGATGTGTAGAAGACTGATATTTGGAAGTAGTTGCGGGCACTATTTTGTTTTCCCTTGATGTGTGGGGAACCAAACTCTCGCAGATGTTTTTGCGCAATGAGTTCTCGAGTAGTTCAATCCCAACAACACCAGACGATGCATCACAAACACATGAATGACGTTGAGTGCCCTCACAGATTCGTAAGAAACCCCCCTCATGCCAGCTTCAGCGGGAATTTTCTTGTATACCAGAGGTTCGTGCATGGGGATGCGAAGCGAATCCTCAGATCCCGACAGACCTTCAACTCCGGAAAGGTTATAGGGCAAAACCAGGAACGTCCCAAACAGATTTGCTCTAGTCGCTTGTGGGGCATTGAAGATTGCGGGAATGGCAGACGCACTTAGTGCATGATGAGCTGGACGACTCCATTACTGCATATGGCGTGTTTAGGGTTTAGGGTTTGGGGTTTAGAGTTTAGGAATTAGGGTTTAGGGTTTAGGGTTTAGGGTTCACCATACAGGGGGGTCTGCTGTACCGGGGGCCGGGGGATGGGTGTTTTGTTGACTTCTGGATGTATCTGCGGGCTGGCCATGTTCAACGATATTCAGCGCACGTGCAAAGCATGGTGGATTGGTAAACTCTCAGCTTGTGCCTTCAACCTTGGCAATAGACTTTAGACTTTGCCACCAATCAACATCCCCTCGGAAACCCAGATGACTCCTTTCCAAAACCATCAATCATGCGAGCATGTGCTTGCAAATCCCACCCTTCCGGCTCCTTAAGCGATGTGAGTTGAAGCTGTACATCATACCCTGCCATCAAACCCGCCATACAAAAACCGAAAGCTGTCCTCCCTGCTTTTTTTTTTTTTCTGGTGTTTTGACCGCTATCGCTTCGACGACAGGTTGTCTTGCAAGGCAGAACCTGGCCTCCCTGTTCTGCCTGATGTGTTGCGGCGTGCGAGAAGCGGTGACAGAACAAGTGCTGGGAGGGCAGGTGCTCTTGTGTACCACCAGCATTCCCTAACGGTTTTTCTGAGGCCGTTAATGCGCGTGCCGCGCCCGCCAAGGAATTGAAAAGTTTGCGGAGGCTGTCGACCACCTTGTCAACTTTCGAGTTAACCTGAAGACCTTTACCCTCCTCGCACATTCCACCGCCACGTTCCAGTTCCATCGCTTGCCGGATGATATGATGGTCCTCTGGCTTTACTCTGCATCGTGCTGGCCATGTCCTGTCAGCATCTTGATCCTAGCTTCTAAGTCTAAGTTCTTCTCTCCAGCCGTAAAAACGATACGTTCGCAAGCCCTCAATCATGTCAAACAACCCGCGATAATGCACAAAAAAACCCAACGAGTGTCTACTCTTCCTGTTCTCAAGCATGCTTTCATGCCTGCGTTGCTGCCTTGCCTGTCTATTTATGTTGAGGTGTCTTTCTCTGTTTGTTCCGGGGCATTTGCTCAACCTTGGAAACCTGCACTTGGGCAAGCAATATCTTACTGGGGTGTTAGCTCACATCGCTGTGTAAATGCATCGACTGGCGTCCCCATTGGGGTCATACAGCATCTTACAGTTCTGAACAGGGCCCGGCACTGATCCAAGCCGCTCCAGCTTTAGCCGACGAAGCCTCCACAATGGGACCTTGCATTGTAACGGAGCCCATCATCGGGGGAAAAGTCCCCGCATTGAGTCTCTCCCCTCCACGTTGGTCAAAGCTGGCACAGTCGTTGGCAAGATTTCCGGATTTTCCGCTCAGAGCCCACTTCCCGGACCCCAAGACCCAACAGGGGCTGTCGGAGTCCCAAGAGGTCGCCAAGTTTGGTCCATCAGGCACTCACAGCTATACCTCCTGACCCGTGTCGTGGATTGCTCTACTGATGCGTGTGAGCGTCCACATTGGGGCGATGTGTATTTCCACGGCCTGATGTGTGTCAACCCACTGCCTCGTGCTGGGTAGAGAAACTGTGCTGCGAGAGTCTTGCTTTGATGTCGCTTCAACAGCTTCGGGTATTTGGCGGCGTGTTTTTTTGCAAGTGCCGCCATGAACGATTGGGAACAGACCCGAAATCCGATTGTCATGTTCCTAGAAAGCACAGTGTGAACTATATTCCCTCTCTGATGGTGTGTTCGAGGCTGGATGTCAGCTTTTCTTCGAAATCGGCCCAACCATTTCTCAAAAGATGCCGCCTTTGCGGCCCCACCGAGGGCCAAACGGACGAACAATCGAAATGTCGGCAGACACATCCCCACTTGGGGATAGGGCGGCGACGGAAAAGACACGCTAGCAGAGCCAAGGAGACGGGCAACGGGACGTTCCGAAATGTCAAAGAATACATTCGCTTTTGCGGCGAAGATGCGAAGATGTGATCTGCCGCGGAAGACGCAAAGACGTGAGTCTCCTCTGATTCATCTTGCTCAAAGGCGTCGACTGCTGAGACGGTGCTTCAACTCCCCTCTTTCCAGATATTTCCAGACCCATTTCTCTCCTCCCCCCTGTGTTAACGAAATGAACGCATCAAATGAGTTCGCACAATATATGCCTTTGAATACTTTGCATGATTGTGGTTTGGAGAATGTATGTGCGTGAGCTCACTTCTTCCGTCCGACGCTCGAACCCAACCAAAGAGCAGAAGGCTATAGCATTTGGTGCATCTTCGCTACACATTGTTGTATCTTCATATTGGATTACAAAACATACAGGTTAAAAAACGATACATATTCCAGAGCTGTATAATTGCTACTTCTTCATATCGCTATAGCTCTTGTTAGAACTACTTGTGGTCAAAATGAGAGCACAAGATAATTGTAAACGCTTGCGCGCGCCGCCTCGGCAGCCGGGCCGGCCCCAACCAGGAAAGGAGGAAAGAGGGTTTCGCAAGGGTGGGGGGGGGGGGTGGTGGGGGGGGGGGTGGGGGGGGGTTTGAGGCACTCCCTCTGTAGGAGCCACCGACAGGCGGGACCCTCCACGGCATCGGTTTGCAGCTCCTCCAAGCGATTGGGGGGGGTCCCACAGGGCCGGGGGGGGGGAGGGGGTGGCGTCAGAAAATTTTGTATGGGGGGAAGGGTTGGGTTAGGGGGAAGGAGGCCCGATCCGGGTCTGCTTGTTCCAGACGCTTCTCGGCAGGAAGCCGAGGCGAATTTGCCCGTGCCTAAAAGCCCTTGCTAAAGAGAAGTCATAGGACATAGGAGCTTTCGTTTGCATGATCTGTGTGTTCCTTTGCCTGATCGACTGCCGGGCCCACGTAGGTGGATCTGAGTTCCGGGGAGCGAAGTCACTGAAATTCCCTAAACTGCGGCATACTAGGACCTGGGAAGTCAAGTCCATCAAAGCAGTCGCTGGCGAAGTGCCTAAAACCAGCGCTAGGCCTGGTTGCGCGGGCTGGAAACAGAATTTAAGTATTTCGCACGTCTAGTGGTCTCTTGAAACAGTTTGAAACAATTTGGAAGGCGAAATGGGGCAGGCCGATATCTCTTCTGGGCCCAGCATGCCAAACTATTTTCCGAAGGTCGCATCAAGAGAGGACACCGTTTCACTCGCCTTCCCCCCATTTTTGCACCAGGATCGAGACGACCTTTCTACGTGTCCAAAATACCGACCACCTCTTCTTCCTCTGTGGGCATCTCAAGACGTGCATTTAGCGAACCGTTCGGTGAGAAAGAACGACCCATGGAGCACTTATGCCCTCGAACTGAACTATCCAGCTGCTTGAAATCTGTGAGGTAACCCAAATGCAAGTGGTGAAGATGGCGACTGGGAGCCTTCTCAGGACGCAGTTGTGCACCTGGCCGTACGTCTAGAATGTTCCTCAGCTTCATGCGAGCCAGCAGACGAGTTTTGTCTGACGCAGTCAGATGAAGAAAGCGTCTTCAGACTGAGCACCGGCACAGATGGCTGGCCTCTCGGCGTGTTAAGGCTGTGAGAGAGGTGGCAAACCTGAGAACGTGGTGTTCCCCCTCCCCCCCCTTTTGCAGACCCAGGACCGACGAGGAGCGCGAAAGTCGCAGCTTTGCTGTGCACGACTTCTGTGGCCGGCTGAGTCGCCGCTATATCAGGGCTCCAATTGCTTTGTCCGTCTTGTCCGGTCCACGTCATTGCAGGTTACTACGGATACATGGCTGCCATCGCGTACCGCAGCAGGAGAATGCCATGCAGATACTATCTTGATCTGCATGTTGAAAAGTAAATTCTCATTTACCTTGCGATGATGTTGTGAGGAACACAGATGGGACCATTCCTGGCATTCTCGAGGGTCGAGAGCATGCTTTGAGGTTGTGGGGGCCTCGTTGCTTGCAGATGGCTGCTTGTCTCGCTTGGGGCCTTACCACCTTCAGCACCAGTCCAGCAAAACAGGCTCCACAACTTCCTGATGAGCCGAGCAAACTCCATCGACTTCCTGGACTCCTCTGGCTGGCCGTTGGGGCCTCAGCGACTTTTTCACTTCCTCCCCAGACTTACACAACTTTACCCAAGGGTTTTTTTCTCGAGCGGGACGGTTTTTTTTTTTACAAAGAGGGCTTTCTGAAGCATGGGAGGCTGAGCCACGAAGGCGTGCTGAAGCACTTGTACCCTCCAGATGGACCTGGCAGGCACTGACAGGATGCTGCTGTTGACTCCGAAGTTCTCCCCAGTCCCATATCAGACCAGGCAATGGTCCCACATTCCGGATGATCCACAAAGGCCCTCCAACGAAGTCCTTAGCCGCCTTAGCTGTTATAGGTACAGCCACATGCAACACATGCCTGTCACATGTCTGTACACCCGGTTTTGCCTGGCAGGTCATTGGCTGACATTGATCTGGACGGTCCGAGATCATTTACTGCTGACTAGAGCTCGTGCTGGAAAAGTAGATTTCCTTGCCAGGTTCCATCGAAGGCCTGCAGAAAGAAATCCACATCACGGCCAGCCTGAGCGAAGCACAAGCTTGTACTTCTACTCTTCTGTGCTTTGAACAGGCAATTGGTTACCACACGACCCTCGTGCTGAAGCCCCAGTTGCGGCGAGTTCCAAACATGTTGCCCGCTAACTTTGCCGGTCTCAGGCTCGAGCTCGTGTCACTGTGGCAGGAGTACCTCTCGGAGCAGGGCCCTTGTCTTTCTCAAATCTTTTGAGGATGATCTGGTTCCCGCTCCCTCCCTGTCTCCTTCCTCCCTTCCTCCTTTCCTCCTCTCCCCTGCCCCCTCCCCTCCCCCCTCCTCCCTATCCAAGCTCCCGCTCCCGCTCCCTCTCATCCCCACCTCCTTCCTCTCCCCCTCCCCTTCCCCTTCCCTCTCACCCCTCCCTCACTCTCGCTCTCGCTCTCTCCCTCCTCGGTCTCTGCAAAATGGCCTCGGAAATGCCTAAGAGGGTTACGCAACACAGAATCATGGCAGTGGATGCTTTTCAAGCTCAGGCAGCGTTTCCACTTTGCCCTTCATGTCCTTGAACCAGGACTGGGTGAAGCGGCGCAGGAGCGGGGAGGGACTCAAGAGAAGAGAGTGGCGTGACCCCCAGCTGCAAGGTTCGGGCAGCAAGCGTGTGCAAAGATTTCCACGCCTATGGCAATCTGTGTGGTTGGGATGCGCGGCTGCTAAGCCGCATCCTTAGTCCTTGGCATCTTGCAAAGTTCATGACATGTCTGTGTCGGGCTGTAGGGTTCAGTGAGTGCTCTGAAGGCCTGAACCACAAGCACTTCAAGAGGGCTGCATCCTTTGTCTGCTTTCTATTTTTTTTTTGCCATTGTTTCGGCGGCGAGTGAGAACATAGACTCTAAGGCCAAGCTGCCGCTCTCCATGCTTCCAAGCCCTTTGATTGAGGACATGGGGGCCCCCGAGTGGGCGGAATCACAATGCAAGCTGGCTGAGAGCAGAGAAGCTGAGTGCCGCATGCGCCACATGCGCTGCACGGTTCAGAGGACCCCGCGGCATTCCTCGAAGACTTTGTCTCCATGTTCCAAGGATCTCAAGGGTTTTGCCAATGCATGGCATGTTCCGAGAGTTCATTTTGTCACCGTGTCTGAAAGTTTTCCCTCATCGCAAAATGTTCATTTCTTGTCATGCGATAGCACGTTGAGCAGAACCGCCACCGTGTTGGCAGGGCCTTGGACACAGCCCCGGCATTTAAGGGAGCAGAACGCGCCAACTTGGCACCGCCTTTTACCTTGACTGACGGCCCCTGTGCGTTTTCCCCGCCTTCTGCTGTTCAGTGCTGTGCTCACGGCCGCACAGATCCCCCTTCCGTGGGCATGAGACTTCCGGAACTATTCATTTTTCGGACTCTCGATGGTATTGATGCAAGGGGCTTTTGGGCGCCTTGCAGAGCCTTGAGGCGCTTGCGGAGGCAAAGCAACACTTCGTAGCCAGGCTGAAGGCAAATACACACGCGCGCACTGGTATTATGCTTATTCTGCTACCACTCTTACGAGTAGAGCTGTCCAAACGCCAGTGTTGCCTGAGTGGGGAAAGCTTGCATTCTTCAAGACTTGTTCAGCTTGCAGCTGGCCCATGTTTGCCCCAATGAAACAGGCCTCTCCGACGATAGAGCTGGCCCGACCGACCCGCAGATCGATCGCCGCTTTGACTGGCAAATGTTGCAACGTTTCAGTTCCATGAAGCCGCCTCTTCTGAGAATTGGAGACTGGCGCCATGTTGCGAAAAGTTCCACCCGAGGTGCCAACCTGTTCCTTTGCACCGAGCCGGCTTTCTTCTGCAATGCCTTGGGACCGAATCTGAGTCACCTAAGCATCCCCCAATGTTGCCTGTGAATGCTCCAGTCAGACCTTCTCGTGAATTTGTGAAGTGCTCGTTTCGATGAATGCTCAGCAGTTTCAACCCAATGTGCTTAGCTCTGTGGACAGTCGAGCCAGTCGAAGTGTTTCTGCTCTCTGGCAGAGCATCGGCCGGTGCCTTTGGGCTCGAGGACCCCAAAATGCAGGAGTGGGATGCCGAAGGCCGAAGGTTGAGTATTGGCTCTGAAATAGTTTGTTCTCCAGTTCTCCAATTCAAGGAGGCCTCCTCACACATGCACACGGGGCACAAGACTCCTAGGAATCGAACGCACAGCATCCAACAGCATCCAGCTTGCAAGGCCGAGCCTTTCCAGACCGGCCCCTGATCGGCTACTTTGCAAATCCTCTGACGGCGTGCGGCGCCCATGTGAGCTCCTTGTGTCATGTTTACGCAGCTCATGGAAATTTGCAGTTTGGATTCCAGGTACCTGCCAGCACAAGCCGCGCAAGCCTGGCTTGGGGACTTCTTGAGTTTGACCCGCGGTGAACTTCCTGGGCGTTGTTCCTCAGCAAAGGGTCGAGATGTGTCGAGCATAGAGGGCAAAAGTTGCAGGTCTTGGCATCCAATTGCATCCAGTTGTGTGGAATGGCAACCGGCTCACAAAGGCACTGCGCCTTTCTTGGCCGTTGCCAACACAAGGTCTGGGCACTCATCCATGATGGCTTGTCCTGCGCATGCCTACGGCGCAGGTTTTTGGCGGAACAGATGCGATTTCAGGCTTCCGCTTGCTTTGTGTGTAGTTCTTGCAGCTCACTGACTCCGATAACCTGGCCAGACTGGAGCCCGCAGAATCTTCGCCGCTCGGCCACTGGCAGCCTATGTGGGCCCGAAGCGCCTGCCTTAGGTTCTCTGCGGCTCAATACAATGCACCGAGCACGCCTCAAACGAGGCGAGGCTCGGCGCCACAGGGCCAGGCCTGCCGGCCTGCTTTGAGAACGTGCACTTCATATTGAATCATGATTTTCCAGAATCCTTCAGGACCTAGCTAGAATGTGTGAGCCGGAGGTGATCGTTGTACGCCAACCCAGCATGTTCTGGAACTCTGCCTGCATTCTCAATGCCCTGGCTCAGTCCTCAGAATTTGGGAAGCACTGGAAATCAACGGAAGCGCAAGACAGCACAAGAACACAGTATCCTGACCGTGGCCCTGAGCCTCCTGAGCCCCCTGAGCCTCCTGAGCCTCCTGAGCCTCCTGAGCCTCCTGAGCCTCCTGAGCCTCCTGAGCCCCTGAGCCCCTGAGCCCCTGAGCCCCGACCCGCAGACATCCGCAGACATGTTGGAGAGTCTTATGTTCAGAATTCCATCAGCTTCCCATACCTTCTAGAGTCCTGTACACTCGAGTTGTGCGCTCGTGTCTACACAGGCCAGTGTAGCTGCAGAATTGAAATTGAAACATACTGAAACCTATTGAAACACATTGAACCACATTGAAACATCTTGAAACAACTTGAAACATCGCGTCAGCTGTCCGGGAGATCTCAGGTGCGACTCAATATGCGGGACCTGCAGCACAAGGTGACTTGGATCGCAATGTGAGGGTGTGCAAAGTTGTGCAAAGCATCGGCTATCTGATGCTCAGGCCCTGGGACACATCAAAGCTAGCCAGCTGCGCTTCGTTGCCAGCGAGGACCGCTGTCGCGGACTCTCCGCTCGTCTTCCTTTTCCTATTCCCTTTCCCTTGCCCTATCGCTTTCCATATTATATATACAAATACACATACACACATATATATCTATGTCTCTCCCTCTCTCTCTCTCTCACTCTTTCTCTTTCTCTCTAGTCCGTCGTGCGGCGGTCGTATGGCGGTGGGGAGGAGCTTCCAGATGCATCCTCAGAGGCAGGCCAAAGCCTTGCCGAAGCTCTTTGTGCCTTTGAGTTGGATTTGTGAACTTGTATGATCTGTTTCAATCGAATAGCCGAGCTACGTGGCCGAACGTGAGCGAAAGGCTATTGCCTCCTTCGAGGCGGCGGTGATTTACCCGTACGATGTGCACCTTTGGCTGCGCCAGAGGGCTTTCGCAATGCTTTCGCTTTTTGGCATTGACCGTGAAAGACCTAGCGCTGCAACGCCACCGAGGTCTCAAATGCGCTTGTACGAACTCTACGCCCTGTCGGTTCCCTTGTTTGTGCCCGCTCCCTACTGTCCTTGCTTGCCGTATGCCGTTGTGTGCCTGTGGCTGCCAGAAGCAAAAGCTGCCGGTGGGACAGGCCGGAGAGCCAACAACTGCCCACTTACATCTACCGTGGCCTCACGTCCATCGAGGACTCAAGGTTAACAGGCTCTGCAAGGTAATTTGTTCTGTAATACTCCGTCAGGATTTCGACCACACCCTGCCCGGTGCTGGCCCAGGTGGGATTTACAAGTATGCAAGTGTCTGTCGCATTGTTTCTCCACCCATCTCCATCCCTTGCTGAATGTGACAGGAAGCTTTGAAGACTCGAAGTACTTCCCACACCTGGACTACAATCCGTTGCTTGGCTAACTTTTGCAAATGCTGCCTATTCGCACCTCAGCGCAAATGGTCGCGATTTGCAGAATCATGAGCAGCAGTGCTGTTCTGAAGCAGCACAGGTTTGACCGAAGCGACTGGCGGGGGGCGGACGCATGGACGCAGCTTACGCACTGGGCGCAACTCCTAGTGCTGGCCAGTGCATTGTTGCACAGAGCTCTCCCATTTCACTGCTCCAACCAATTTGCTCAACGCATAGACCTGTCAACAGAGCTGTGCACACTCGGGGCGTTGGCCCATCTTGTCTCATGGTGGATGCTGAAGCAATGACGTCAGGTATCCTTGCCCCACTTGCTTCGATTTGCTCGCTTCTCAGTGGAGCCGGTCAAAGCGCTTGGCCATGCTGTGGCCGCGTGGGAGCAAGCGCTGAGGCCAGCGCTGCGCAGATATTGGAGCAATTGCTGCAGGCCTCCGGTTGGCTGTAGAAGTGTTTTCTCTTCATCTGGGTTAAACAGACCTCCGAGGACCTTCGGCCAGTTTCCGCTGCCATGCGTCGACAACAGGAACGTGACGCGTGGCATCGTTGGTCGATGCATGCGAGCAGCGAAAAACTCCCCTCAGGATATACGGCTCTGTCAAACGCGGCATGACAGGTGACATCATCCTCGCTGTTCGCTTCTGGACGGCCGCCCTGGGAAGCATGGGTTTCAAAAAGTCATGCGATGCAGCTTTGCTTGCGTCGGCCGTAGCCGCTGTAGCCAGCCATCTTCCATGCGCATGTGGTTGTATTGGCACGACATGTCATACCACTTTTTCTGCAGCTGTGAATTTGGCAGAAATCGATTGATTTGCAATGGAATGCTCTGTCGACAGATGAAGAAGCCCCTACAATGATAATCTGATGCGGGTGTTCCTGCTCGCTAATCAAGCCGCATGTGATGTAGATAGGAATGTCGGAAAGGTTAAGTGGCTTAGAATGATCCCCTATCGCATTCCATTGCCGTAGCGCGCGAACATACATGTTGTACATTTGACTCATATGCCTGATCCCTCCCTCTCAGCCTTTGTCTTGCATTGTTTGCCGGGGGGCCCAGGTCTTTAGGATGCTTTTGGGGGAATGTGTGCTATTCAGAAATTCACAGAGCTTACACTGAGGTAATGGGGCTATCTTGGCAAGACAGGTTTGACAGACCAGACGGCCGGGCGCGCGCTTTGACATCGATGGTAGCTGACTTCATGGCCCAGATCGATCTTCGTCATGAGGATTCATGATGTCAGGTGTCTCTCATTGTTGGGCTTCGACCGCAAGCCAGCGTTTAGCAGCATGTCTGGCGAAGCAAGGTTCCGTCCCAGTTGCTGCATACTGCAGTTACGGTACTTGACCTCGCGTTTTTGATCGTTTTTGTGGGTTTTCCAACCTCTTGGGTTGCAGGTGACGTGTTTTCCACGTCTCTTCGAGCTCCGGCTGAAGCCCCGGCCATCCTCGAATCTGTTCGGCAAGTGAGCGCTTTAATCTTATGCGCTGCACAAGGTGGTGGGCTTTGACGGATTGTTCCGCTCGCCCCAGCAAGGACACCGGCAGCGTCAAGCGTGTGAAGATCTGTTGCGTGATGATGTTCTATCACTTTTTGTCAGAGGATCTGTGCATTGCCTGGGGGCCGAGATTGAGGCCTTGCACATCCTACACATTGTGCACGTCAGAGAGAAGCACTGGAATCGGACATTTAAGAGCCTGCCCGCCTTGCCCGCCTGGTCAGGCAACGGCGCTTGGACAAGCCACGACTTGTCTCGGACATTGCGCAAAGCCCGCAGATGTCGAGAATGCCAAGGTCCACGGCGGCCGTTCAACATTCAACGGGTTTCTTTAAATCATACTGCTATAGTATGGACTCATAGACTCTACACTGATTCAGCTTTGTAATGAAAAGCTCCACGCTTGAGTCCGAGTGGCAACGTGTGGCAATCAATCGTGCGAGCTGTTTCTCGACGTGTATACGTCCACATCTATAGTGCTGCTCACCACACTCGCTACGTCATGCCTGCCTGCCAATGGTCGTCTTGAGTCCTGTGGCCATCTTGTGACCCTGTGCTTTAACCGGGATGTGTCGGCGCGGAACACTAAATGCTTGCTACACGACTTGCCGCTGGATTTTACAATTTTTTGCAAAGTCCTTGGAGCTGCGAGGCAACGCTACAGGTACGGATTTGTGCGGCCCATGACCTGAGGCTGGTGCCTCCCGTCGCAGCCATTTGGTAATATGTTTCTGTTTGCAGCGGAGGTCTTCTGGTGCTGCCGACCTTCTGGATCCGTCGATGTTCTCAGCTGATATCACAAAGGGTAACATTCAGCATCCATCAGAGTGCATGAAGGTATGTCGATGTGCGTGCTGGTGGCCACCACTGGCAAACACCGCAGCTGGGATGCAGTGATCATGATCATAGTTATAGTATAGTCGTACACAGCAGCAAGCCTCCCACTTTTGCGCAAGATCAGTGCTGCCGCTGTGGCGATGATGGCTCAGAGCTGACAGCTAGAGAGCTTGGAAAGCATGTTCGTCACTTCGACGTATAGGCATGACTTGCCATACCACAAAGTAAAGTAATTGCCTCGGTTGCTCCTTGCTGCTGCTTGAGGGCTGATGACAGAGGTTCGCCTGCGTTGACCAATGGGCGTCTGCCACGCACCATGTGGAGCATTGGAGACGAGAAAGACGACGATGCCGCCGATGGCGCGCCAAATGCCCGGGGAAGCTCGCAGGACTTTGCCGAGCTTGGTTCATGTTCCTCGCTTGAGCATCCTTGTCTGGTAAATTTATGACCAGGAGGTTGTGGCGCTGACTGAAGAGAGTTTGGCAGTCAGAACCCCAGTTTGTGGAGACGCGCTTGGAGATACTTCATGCTATGTATGTTTGTCCTTATACACACAACTGCACACAGAGGCGCCTGCCCGGGGTCTGGGTCCTCCTGTTGCCGGGAACTTCCCCGGCCGCCTCTCGCCGCGGTTCTTGGAGGCGGTGATGGCCCCGGGGGCGAACATCGGCATCAACCAGGCCTGACTTGCAAATCTCTCTGAGCAAAAAGGCTTCACACAAAAGGGAATGAGAACGCTTGAGGAAAGACTGGGTAGAGAAGGCTTCCAGCCAGAGAGAACAGTGTGAACAGAGAAACTGAAGAAGAGGAGCCCACATTTGGCTGAGGCTGGCTGGCTGCAGTTTGAACCCGGCGCACATGCGCACATCATGGCTCAGCACTCTTCGGATGAGATGCAGATTATCTTGTACCGTCACCTGGCCACCACTTGCAGAGAGAGCAGCAATGAGGGTCTTAAAATGTCAAGTGGGAGTGTTCTAAGGATGTCTGTCATTTGGGTGAGATGTGTTGAGAGTTTAGCCGTCTCTGTCTTCGATCGATCTGATGAGCATCTATGTGGGCACTGGCTCTTGATGTTTGACACGCGGCGCTTTAAGGGGACAGATGCTATTGAGGGAGTACTGTAGACGGGTCCAACTGCTTCATGACTGCGTGGCTAGTTTTTACACCGAATAACGGGCCCCGATGAGAGAAGCGTTTTGGGGGCAGTTGTGATGGGGAGGTGGTCGTGAACTGGTGCTCTACGACGCGCACCGGCAAATGGCTTTCGCCCGGCGGCTCACCAAGGAGCAAGCTCAGGTGCTGGTCCACAACCGACGCCACAGCTCCTGCCCTTTGTGCAAGCAAGCTTTGAGCGAATCCTGGGCATTTGTGGTGGAGGGCTACTGGGAAACCATACGAAAGGTTTTCTCCACCAGCGCTGCTGGTGAAGAGGAGACAGCTGCAATGGCACAGCTGCACAGCATCGCAGTGGGTCTCCTCAACACCGGCTACTATGCCCGCTTCTTTCGAGAGGAAAGGATGCTGGGATCGGGCTCATTCGGGGCCGTGTACCTGTGCACACACATGATGGACGAAATCGAACTGGGAACATTTGCTGTGAAGAAGCTGGCCTTAGGAGACGACGCCAATAGACTTAGGCAAGTGGTGCGAGAAGTTAAAGCATTGGAGAAGCTGCGGCACATGAACGTCATCGATTATAAGCATTCGTGGCTGGAGATCGATCGACATTCAGAGCTATGTCCGTACGTACCGTTCCTGTATATCCTGATGGACACTTGGCAAGCTTGAGGAATGGCTCGTTTGTTGACAATGTTGACAAGTCTCGTAGTCTCTAATACGTCGCCATGCAAGACTTCCACATGCAGATTATTTAACTCAGGAATACTGCAACTACGGCTCCTTGGAGAACTTCATCTGGCCGAGAAATCCAGGATTCATCCGGGGCAGGTCTGACAATTCAAAGCGAGCACGGGAGCTGACAGACGAGCTCATTTGGCATTTCTTCCACGGCCCGGACCCCAGACTTGTCAGTACATGTCACACAACACTAGCGGTTCCATCTTTTTGCCCGGCATTCAGTAGACGGGTCGTGGATGCAGATACCGTCCAGTTGATCGCAATTCATGATCGTGTTCTAAGGCATGTGTAGCGGCCTTGATCATTTGCACTGCCGTGGGATTCTACACATGGACCTGAAACCATCAAACATCATGCTGCACGTGGATGAGATGCCAGAGACCTTGCCTAGACCGATGCTGTCCGACTTCGGCACTTGCCACATCATAGGGGAAGGTGTGTCTTCTGAGCATGGAGGATATGCCATGGAGTTTTGCCCCCCAGAGCGGCTGGAAACCCAGGAGATGGGAGAGAAGGGCGACATGTGGAGTGCAGGCCTGGTGTTATATGCAATGTGCTATGGAGATCTTCCTTACCACAGCGACGATCCTATGGAATGTCGCCGTCAAGTCATGAGCCACAAGGTCCTGCCGGAACCATCAAATATTGCCTGGCAGCAGCGAGACGAGCGCTACTGGAATGTCGTCTGCATACTGACCTCCCGGCAGCCTGTGGCCAGACCATCTGCTCGAGAGTGCGAGGTCTTGGCAGCACAGGAGCTGGCACGCCTGGCCCTTGCTCCCAAGTCACCAATGAAAAGCCTGGGCTCTCCCTCCATGCACCCACAAATGATCATGGACTCATCGCTGCCCCAACTGCAAGATGGCGAGTTGAATTGAGGATCCCGAGGCCAAGGACTGCCTTCACATCCGCTGATGTTTTGGGCTTTGGCTGCTTCGTTGCTTCGTCTCGCAGGCCGTGTTATGCATCTGACAAGCCGTGATCGTATCTTGTTGTAGCACCCGCACTGGAGTGTGAAAGAACGCATCACGGCATACATGCGTGTATATATCTACATCAGCAGCTTCACAAGTAAAGCAAAGTATGTATGCAGAAATCTACATACAGAATACTTCGAGGCCGGTCAGATCCCGAGAGTGTGGACCAGCTCGACTACCAGCTCACTTACACGCTCAACTACAAGCTCAACAAGACATTCGAAGTACGATTCGAAGCGTGCGATTTCCAAGACGACTACGGACTGGTCGCCACCAGTGACAGTTAGTTGCGGTAGTCCTAGTGACAGGTTCGGGCGGCAAAGCAAAAAGAAGTGCTTCAGAAACACAGGCAGTCTCGCAAGTCGCGTTGGAATTGAGCCCTAGCTTGTTTCCATTTGACTTGTCCTTGCGCAGCTGAGGGCATGCACCGGCAGCAATGATCCTGTGTGGATGACCGGCAACGAGCGCAAGCCTTCGCGAGCTTCATGCACCCCACAAAGCCATGGAAAGCAAAAGAGTCCCAAACTCCAGAGTCCGAGCAGAGCCCAAGGTTCACTCATGAAAGCACCAGTGAAAGACTGGCAGAACTTCTGGAGATGGAGGCAAGGTTCTGGATCGGCATGGTGAACTTTGCGTGGCTTTGCAGCGCCAGGTCGTGAACGCCAATGGCCCACACAGCCTTGGCAAGGCGGTGCTCAGCATACCAGATCTGGCCAGAGGCCAGCAGTTCCACAGAGAAGCATTCTGAAGCATTACAATATGAAGCATGTTGAAGCATAATGCATCATCATGAAGCAGTACGAAGCATCCTAAAAAAGAGCAATTGCCTCCAGCTTCAGGAGTCTGGCACCGGCGGAGAATGCTTCTCGAGGGCGGTGTGGGGGAGCTCTCCATAGAGGCAGAAGATTTTCTGGCGCTGGGCCTTGCGCTGCCTTCATTGCCTTACGTGTTTCGTCGCCTTGCGCTGGTCAGTGCGGCTCTTTGGCGTTTTTTTCATGTCCGTTCACGAGGCGATTTTGCAAAGGCAGCCTCCGGAAGTGGGAAACGCATATTATGGCTTCCTTGTGATGTCAGCAACGCCTAGTCCAGGCAAGCAAGCTGCACAACGAAAAGCAGAAGCACGCAAAAAGGATGCAAAAAGAAAACCAAAACGCATTAGCCTTGTCTTGTTTCTCATGTCATCACGACAGTTAGCTCCCTGCAGCTTGCGGGAGTTTTTGTTAAAAGCAACCTTTTTGTTTAAGGGCAAATTCGGACTTGGGGCCTTCATCCCTAACATGTCAGGACCGCTCCCCTACCACCCCCCCTCCGCCCTCACTGTGCCCCCTCATGCTGACATGCGATACTGGCACGTGTTGTTGTTAGTGCCACACCACAGCATCACATGTGCAAGGACATTTTTCACCCGATCGCCTAAGACAGAAGTTGTGGTTATCCCAGCGGTGCAACCCAACAGCCGGCAAGCACCAGATGATCAAGGATCAACAAGGAAAGGTTCACGCGAGGCGGCGTAAGAACACGACTCTCCGTTCCATTCCGTATGCCGTTCTGTTTCTGCATGCCGTTCCGCTCCGGGCTTCCGCGGTTCGTTCCTGTCCGTTTCGGCGGGGGCCGTTCCGGTGCCTATCCCTGGTTACTCTTACCCGTTCCGGTTTGGGCTCCGGAGTTTCGTTTAACCGTTTAACTAGCCCCTAGAGATACAAGCCCAAAAATAGCCGCTTGCCATCAGCAACTAGCTTCGTCCGCCCTGCTCTCAAGTGAAGGACTGAGGAGAACGAGCTGCAGTGTCTAGAATGAGTTAAAGCATCCATCCGATTGTTATTTTTTCGGGGCATTTTAGTATAGCAGAGTTCTATTCTTCTTGCCGAAGTGCTCGGGTGCTTTGCTCCCAACACATTTGCTTTACTCAGCTTGACCCCTAGACAAATTGAAGCACGTTGGTTAGAGTTCCTTGCGCTTCTCACTGTCTCACTGTATGTTATAACCTGAGGCTCGTAGCGAGGTCTCAGCAAGTCTCCATCTGTTGCGTTCAATTACTCCTTTCTACCGGCTCGAGTATGCTCGAGTGCCAGGTGCGTTGTGATGCCACCGACAAGGCCGACCCTCCGAAGGCAGAACTCCAGCCCGATCAAACCCTGAGCCCTGATGGTTGCCATATGTTGCCATGCAGGAGCCTGCGGCTTCGAGAACGCGCAGCCCTTAACACTGACTTGATCTGACCCAGTTTGCCATCTTCTTCTTGGAAGGTATGAAGATTCACCCGGGGAAGCCTCCTACTGCGTCGAGCAGTTGTGGACGGTGTCTCTCCAAGTCTGGCATCGGCTCTGGACAGAGTGGACAGCGTGCGCCACGTGCAGGGGCTCGGAAGCCAAGCGCAGATCCGACTGCCACAGGCCCCCCACACAGCCGACATTTCGTGAGGCTTTAGCTGGGGTCTCTTTATGTTTTTGGTTGTTTTCCTACTAAGAGGAAAGAGAGGTTTTCCCATGAGAATGCAGAGGAAATAGAGTTTTTCTTATGAAAGTGTAGAGGAAATGGCGGTTTTCTTATTTAAAAGAGGACATGAAGGTTTTACCATAAGCCACAGCAAAATAGAGGTTTAGAACGACGGAAACAAAGAAAGTGAAAGAAAGAAGAAACAACAAAGAACAACAGAAACATAGAAAGAAAGAAACCCCCCCCCCCCCGACGAAAGACAAGACTAGAGGAACAACCAGCAGTGCGAGGACACCGGAGCCAGTGCAAACAAAACCTTCACTGCCAAACCTCTGGGAAAGTCGGGCAGAGCTGGGGGGAAACAAAGCCGAAAGCTTCGACGAGAAGCAGGCCAGAAGCAGAAGAAGCCCAGTGGAAAAGATGGGAGGGACAGACGCAGATGGAAAGGCGATGAGGGGTTTAAGCTTGAGGAACACCAGGGCCAAAGAAGGAGAAGAGTCCAACCCGTCATTGTGTTTGCAAACGGGGGGAAGTCAACATGATGCCATCAAAGCGGACTTGAGAAACTAATCGAAAAATGTAGATTGGCTCTGTGTATGAAGAGGAAAGCTGCTTTAATAAGAAAACCTCTGTTTCCTCTGTATTCGGATAGGAAAACCTTTCTTTCCTCTGCATTTTAAAAGGAAAACCTCTATGTCCTCTGTGTTTAATACGAAACTCTGGACAAAAATAAGTTCAAAATGCGGGAAAAACACAAGATCCGAATGGTTCATGGCCCGTCTTGAATGAAGCCAGTTACGCCAATACCAATCATATTGCATTGCAGGACTGGGCCGACATGCAGGCTGCCTCCCTAGTTGCGCAAGCGCACAAAGGTGTCTCCTGTGTGAGAGCGCATGCTAAAAAACTTAAGCTGCTGGAAGGACACTGACGAGCTCACGCCAAAGGACCAGTGCCAGTGCTATGTTTACCTCCACCCCCCATCGTTTTCCATCACCCTAGGGTTTAGGGTTTAGGGTTTAGGGTTTAGGGTTTAGGGTTTAGGGTTTAGGGTTTAGGGGTTAGGGGTTAGGGGTTAGGGGTTTAGGGGTTTAGGGGTTTAGGGGTTAGGGGTTTAGGGGTTAGGGGTTAGGGTTTAGGGTTTAGGGTTTAGGGTTTAGGGTTTAGGGAGGTGCTGCCAAACGATGGGGGGGTGACGGTTTACTTATGACAGCGTTGGGTGGCGAAGCTTCGGTCGGCTTCACAGACGCTAGGCAAGTACCAGACTGCTCCAGGCATCAGATGCCAAGTGAATCCAGGTCGAAGCGCGAGCCCTCTGTGTCAGCAATTCAGCACACAATCCTCAAGCACTAAATTTGACTAGTGCATTGCCGCAAACCAGAATCCGCCACCACTGACATGGGCACATGATCATGATCAGCAGATCAGCACACGATCTTTTGGGCTTAACCGCTGGTGGCATTGGCCCAATCTCTACCAGGTCTACCACAGCTTTTTGTAAGATCGCGCGGTGCAACGTGGCCATGAAACAGTCTCAAATCGACATTTTCGGGTGCATTCGACCTAAAAGGCATCGAAGGCCGGAAGGCTGCTTCACGCGCGGCAGTGTTGGTGCTTGAAGCAGTGAAGCAGGTGGTTTGTGTGATTTGGGTGGTCGCTTTGGTGTAATTGTAAACGCTTGCGCGCGCCGCCTCGGCAGCCGGGCCGGCCCCAGGACAGGAAAGGAGGAAAGAGGGTTTCGCAAAAAAAGGGGGGGGGTCGGGGCGGGGGGGGGAGGGGGGGGTGAGGGGGGGGGGTGAGGGGGGGGGGGAGGGGGGGGTGGCGGGGGGGGGGGGGGGCGTGGGGTGGGGGGGTTTGGGGGAGGGGGTGCGGGGGGGTTTTGTGGCACTCCCCCTGTAGGAGCCACCGACAAGCGGGACCCTCCACGGCATCGGTTTGCAGCTCCTCCAAGGGATTGGGGGGGGTCCCACAGGGGAAGGGTTGGGTTAGGGGAAGGAGGCCTGATCCGGTCTGCTTGGATGGCACGCTGAATTGTGGGACACAAATGTTCGAGTGCCTTGAGGGGGTTTGCTGAAAGGACTCGCCAGGGAGGCCCCGGCCATCTCCTCACCCATTTTTCGCTGGTCTCTGTCAATCATTGCTGTCTTGGCCGATGCGGATGCAATCAGGTCGCGGACCTTCGAAGCACCTCGAGACTTATTTGGTGAGGCTCGATTGGAGGCCGGGTGTCGCATTGCAGTGTGCCTCAGTTTGTGGAGTGCATCTCCTTTGCCATATGAAACAGGGAACGGGGTGGTGTATCCCCGACAGAATCCCGACAAGGTTTGGGACCCTGGTACCCCCGACATGTAAAGAACAGACTGCGACAAGTTTCGTCCAAAAGCTGGATTCCCTGACCCTTTCGCTCAATTCAACGATTTTGACCCCCAATACTGGCTGGGAATCCGCTTTTTGAAGCCTTAGAG